GCCACGTTCCCGGCGAGCCCCCGCCTCTTGGCAAGGCGAGATCCTCACTCGGGTCCTCCTGTCCAGTTCTCACCACTGTAAAGAGCTTCACACTGTCCACAAACGTTTGTGGATCCCTTACTGCGCTCCAGGAACCGCAGAAACGCTAAAAGGACTCAAATAGAACTCGACTCCTGCCTTTGAGGGGCTCACAGTCCAGAGGCAGGTCTACACGTCTATTGAAATCAGTAAAGTTCCCAGAGGTGCCTGGCTGGCTCAGTTGGTGGAGTTCGATCTCCTGATTGTAGGTTCAAGCCCTGTGTTGGGTGTAGAGATAACTTAAAATCTTAAAAGAAAAAATTAGTACAGTTCCTCAAACAGTACTAGTGTAACAACAACAACAACAAAAGTGGGGCGGGGGGCAGTCAGGGCTTCACCCACTGAATTTTTAAGAGTATTTGGAGGATGGCTGGTGCTGGGAGAGGTCACAGGTTATTCGGGGAAGGGAAGAACATCCACAAACCACTGAAGGAGAAAGGCTCTAACTGGACAATAGAAGGGTTTGAAGTTGAGATGGAAGAGTTAGGAAAATCGTGAAAATTTTGAATAACCAGTGTGAGTCACTAGAGTACCAAGTTAGACAAGTGTCATCGAAGACCTAGGGGAGTTTAGAAACCATAGTGTGTAATGATGCCCAGCTATGATTTTGCCAGCTATCTATAGGTAGATATATAAATATGGGTATTTATTTATTTTTTTAAAGATTTTATTTATTTATTTGAGGGAGAGAATGAGAGAGAGAGAGAGAGAGAGAGAGCACATGAGAGAGGGGAGGGTCAGAGGGAGAAGCAGACTCCTCACTGAGCAGGGAGCCCGATGTGGGACTCGATCCCGGGACTCCAGGATCATGACCTGAGCCGAAGGCAGTCGCCCAACCAACTGAGCCACCCAGGCGCCCTAAATATGGATATTTATGATAAAAGCAGTTTGTGGGCTGAGTAGAAGGAGGTGAGTGAGGCAGTTGAGGGTCTGGGAGAATGTGACTGTGGTATTGAACTGGGCGTCTAGTCCACACAGGAAAGGACTGAGAGCAGTGTGGAGCTGATAGACTAGGAAGAAAAGAGACAGAACTAAAGACAAAGGCCTATGGGAATAAGGGAGCTGGCATGCTGTTACCAGCTGTGGTGTTAGCATTGGAGACCTCAAAGGGGAAGTAATTCCAGGGGATGATTCAGTTTAGGGTCTGACATCTGAAACAGAGTCAAATGAGTGGGTTGAGCATCCACCAGGCCAGTGTGTGGGGCACTGAGGTCCCTGGAACTTGGAGGAGTCCAAGGAACCAAATCTTGAGGCCAAGGAACCAACTCATCAGTGAATGTGGAGGAGTGACCCTGAAGCTAATAGATGACGGCAACAAGGATGGGTGGAGGTTGTACGGCAAAAATTCAGTGAGTTTCAAAGCAAAGGGGAGTTTCTCCCCACCAAGAGTAATGTCATGGAAGAAGAAGGAAGGCACTAGGGTTAGTGATGTCAATTTCTGGGAAAATAAACAGAGGCTCCACTCAGCAGGAAGTGTATGGAAGCCCCAGGTCTCATGAAGGCCAATAAATAAATTTTTTGAAAAGGAGGAAACAACTTTGGGGTGCCTGGATGGCTCAGTCAGTTTAAGCATGTGACTTCAGCTCAGGTCATGATCTCGGGGTCCTGGGATCAAGTCCCACAACGGGTTCCCTGCTCAGCAGGGAGTCAGCTTCTCCCTCTCCCTCTGCCCCTCCCCCTGCTCGTGCTCTCTCTCTCTCTCTCTCTCTCTCTCTCTCAAATAAATAAATAAAATCTTTAAAAATTAAAAAAAAAAGGAAACACCTTTGAAGGCTGGAGGCATGGAGAGGTTTGTTATGAGATAAGTCTTCCAGAGCATCCTATGGAAAGGACACTCATGAAATGGCCTGACATCAATGGTGATATTCCCCTGCCACATATGTAAGGGTTCCTTCCACATTTCAATACTTCATTCCCTTTTCACAGCCAGGACAATTACTATAATCCCCTTTCTATAATGAAGAACCTGAGGCTTAGAGATGTGAAGTGTCCTGACCAAAGGTACATTACGAGTGGCAAAGCCAGGACATCAATGTAAATTGTTTGTCCCCAAAGCCAGATTCTTCACCACAGGATGTGGGGCCTTATCCTTATCTTATTCTATTCCTCTATGTAGCTAACAGATGGAAGATATTTTGTGAATACAAAGGAATTATTATGATAACTATTGTATTATTAATCCAAAATGGGGAAAAAATTGAACAGAAAAACAAATTTGATAACAGGATTCAGATTGACTGATTTGGGTGGGACGGGAATATCCTCGTGAATAAACAAGTGTTTATTCACGGCCCACTACCAGCATCGCAATAAGAATAAAAAAAGAGATGAAAACAAAGTCTGTCATTAAGTTGATTGCTCGTGCTCTCTTATAATCTTTTATTTTGAAGGATTCTACCTTTCAGAACCATTGTAAAACTGTTTGTTCCCTGGGGAACACAGCCTTTACTGTGGTTTTGGGTGTTCCTGGAGATAAGGCAAAAGTAGAGCTGAACGGGCTGGGCCCCACCTCTGCACTATATTTATGCAAGTGAAGAAACTTGAAGGGCAGAAAGGACAAATAACAGGTCAAGGTTATCTATTAGATGGTGATGTTAGAACCTTTATTCCTCGGGCGCCTGGGTGGCTCAGCTGGTTAAGCCACTGCCTTCGGCTCAGGTCATGATCCTGGAGTCCCAGGATTGAGTCCCGCATCGGGCTCCCTGCTGAGCAGGGAGTCTGCTTCTCCCTCCGACCCTATCCCCTCTCATGTGCTCGCTCTCTCTCTCAAATAAATAAATAAAATCTTAAAAAAAAAAAACTCATTAAGAACCTTCATTCCTCTAGGCTTCTGACTGAAATTCTGGTCTCAATCCAATCATACTTGAAACAAATATCCCTTTTCAGTAGTGTTGACCACTTTTAGGTTCTTACTGACATAAATCCCAGAAAATATTGGTCCTAAGATGTCTCCTGACTTTCAAAGCTGAATCAATACCCAGACTCTAAAAACAGGTTGGAATATCATTGATGCCACTGAACTGTACACTTAAAAATAGTTAAAATGGGGGGCACCTGGATGCTCGGTTAAGCATCCAACTCTTAGCTCAGCTCAGGTCTTGATCTCAGGGTCGTGAATTCAAGCCCCGCACTGGGGTCCACACCAGACGTGCAGCCTACTTTAAAAACAAAAAAAAAAGTTAAAAGAACAGATTTATGTCATATATATTTTACCACAATTTAAAAGATTCATAGTGTAACATACCAAAAACTATTGAATTGTACACTTTAAATAGGTTAATTATGTGGTATGTGAATCATATCTCAATAAAGTTGTTTGGCCTTATTAAGCCAAAATCCTGGACCTGAACTGTGAATATACCTCAGGCTGGAAAACTGGAGAGCAGGGAAATCAGAATCAGAATCTGTCATAATCTGTCCCCACATACTCCCACAGGACACTGGAACTAGGTGAGAGGAGGAGGAATAATGGGCGTCCTTTGCCAACAGATTGCTTAAGACTGTGCTTGTGAAATCCGTTCATTTACTCCTGGCTCTGGAGGGGTAGTTGTTCACTTGACCAGTTTTGTTTTGTTTTGTTTTTTTCATTTTCATGTTATTATGGAAAAAGTTAAAGGTACAGAGCAGCAGATATAAAAGTATAACCACCAGCTTGGACAACTGTCAAACCATGGCCAAGCTTGTTTCATCTATATCCCTACCCATTTCTGCCCCCCTTCCTGTATTAATTTGAAGCAAATGACAGACATCCTATCATTTCTTTGGTAAATATCTCAGTACGACTCTCTAAAAGATAAGAACCCCTTTAAGTACACACAACACCATCACCACAATTTAAAAATTAACAATCCCTATGTCCATCAACACATAAATGGATAAACAAAAAGTAGTATATACATGCAATAGAATATCATTCAGCCTTTTTTAACAGCCTTTTAAAGGCAGAATTTTAAGAAAATTCTGACACATGCTACGAATGGATGAACATCAAGGACATTTGCTAAGTGAAATAAGCCAGTCACAAAAAGACAAATGTGGTATGATTCCACTTATATGAGGTTCCTGGAGTAGTCACACTCATAGAGACATAGAGACATAAAGTAAAATGGTGAGTGCCAGGGGCTGGTGGGAGGAGAGAATGGGGAGTTGTTTAATGGGTACAGTTTCATTTTTGCAACTTGAAAAGACTTCTGGAGATTGGTTGCACAATGTGAATGTACTTAACGCTACTAAACTGTACACTTAGAAATGGTTAAGATGTTAAATTTTATGGGTATTCTACCACAATTAAAATTTTAATTTAATTTCTTAATTTCATGAACTATCCGGTACTCAAATATAAACGTCATACTTTTCCCCCCAATGTTGGAATCAGGATCCAAATAAAATCCACGGGTTGCCACGGATTATGGCTCTTAAAACTTTTCTGACCTATAGGTTTCCCTTTCCCTCTCTTCCTTACAATTTATTTAAAGAAACAAGGTCGTTTGTCCTGTGGTTTCTCACAGCTTAAATTCTGCTGCCCGCATCCCATGGTGTCCTGTAACACTTTCCTTAGTCCTCTGTATTCCCTGTAAATTAGTTGTTCGACCCAGAGGCCCTGGGCCAATTTTGATTGGGACTCAGAAAGGGGCTAAAGACGTCCATTTCTGAGGCAACGGCCCAGCTGGACCTGAGAAGGCGAGGCTAAGCCAGCAGCCACGCTGCTTAGAGAGACAGAAACGCCCTTTACACGTCTGAGTCAGTAACCTAAGAAAAGCTGGGGAAGGAGGAGAGAGGACCGGGCGGGACTACGCTGGGAAAACCCTTTGTCTATTTTCCACGCACGTCAGAAAGTTACTGAAATAAACAGCCAAGGAGGGCGGGGCCCTTGGCGGAAATGACATACATGCGGCCGCCGGCAGAGCGGCCATAGAGACGGGGAGACGGATAGAGAGGCTGCTCCAGGGTCGCACTTCCGGCCATCTCCTTGGAGGCGGGGGGGCGCGCATTGTGGAGTCAGGAGCCGGCAGTGCCAGTTAGGGTCTCCGGTGGCCGGGACCGCTGTAGCGGCCCCGCGGGCGGGATGTTCCGGGGTTTGAGCAGTTGGTTTGGCTTGGAGCAGCCGGCGGCGGGTGGCCGGCAATCTGAGGGAGGCGGGCTGGTCGAGGGAGACGCTCCACCCCAGCAGTGCTCCGAAGAGGTGTCAGAGTCGGCGGAGGGGGAGCCGCGGCAAGCGGGGGACCAGGAACTCCTTCATCAGGCAAAAGGCCTCGGCAGTGAGTCTCCTCTGGCCCTCGGGACCAGAGTGTGTGTATGTGTGGGGGGGTGCCCACTCCCTTCTCTTGACGCCCGAGGGCGCGGACCCGACTGCTTGGGGGGTGTGGGGTGGGTGGAAGGGGAGAAAGGTGTGTCTGTCACTCGGTCGTCTTGGGACAGGAGAGGTTGATGAGGATCTGGGCAAGGCCGAAGTTTCATCTAGCAGTCAATCCTGTGCCTGAAGTTCCTGGTGACAGGTCAGTCTTTACGAGGTGTGTAAACATTGGGAGCCAGGGCTTCCGTAAAACGGTGTGGTTCGACGTCTTTAGGTTTGACAAGGAATCTTTTTTGTTTAGTTCTCCAGCTTTCACCTCCACACGCCCACCCCCAGGACGGGGGGGGGTACGTTGGGGAACTTTAGTTGGTTGGAAAAGTGCCCTTTTGTGCCCTTAGGGCACAGTGTGTTGTCTGAAATAAATTGCGGGGAAGAGTTATCGAAGGCCTCCCTCAGGCTGGTCTCCTTTTTAGGTGCAGTGGAATTTTTTTTTAAGGCGGAAAAGTAGCTGTCCATTTTTGTCGGTGATGCAGGTTTCGGTACTAGATGTTTGATGAACGATATCTCATTTAATCTGTTAAACCTCCCAGTGAGTTGGGAGAACAAGCCCAGAGTTACTGGCTCAAAGTTAAACTGACAGTAAGCGGTAGACGTGGAATTTGAACCTAGGTCTGTCTAATTTGAAAGCCACAGTCTAGTTAGGGAGGAGAGTAAAAGTAGTAGGTTTGAAGAATAAACACATAGCTCTGGTAATTCTGATTCTGGAGACCTTGGCAGGCTTAAATAATAAAAGAAAACGTCTTTGAGAAGGTAGGGCCTAAAGCAGATTTCACTACAAGTGAGAGAACTGCAGCAAAGGTAGATACTAAATTTAGCAAGCGTTTTTTAAGAATCTACTAAAAGGCCAGATCATAGGGGAGGCCGGAGCCTGAGAGTGGAGAAACACATATTTGAATGAGAAAGGCTCTAACATTTCAAGAAGTCTGGGGAGGGGGCAGGGAAAACAGACATAATCTCATGACGTGGCAGTACAGAATCTCAGCTCAAGGTCCCCAAACAGTGCACAAGAGAAATAAAACTAAGTGCTGTGCAACAAAAACTCTAAAGAGGGAACAACTGTTTTGTGTGTAGAAAATTTAGGCAATTCACCAGTTACAAATGGTGGACACCCAGGCCTAGATTCCACTCCCTTACCCAAAACCAAGCCTTCCCATCCTTGGTCCTTCTTCCTGATAAACTCTGGCCTCCTAGGATTACCTGCTTCTGAAGGAGGGCAGTATGCCAGCATTGGTGGTATAGTGGTGAGCATAGCTGCCTTCCGAAGGAGGGCAGTTTATAAGGGAACTCAAAGAAGAGCTCCTCCCTACCTCCCCGAAGTCCTGATGCCCCAAAGTAACTTCTAATTCAGCACAAATTGGTTGCTTGGTTTTTGTTAAAATCGACCAAATTGAAGCTTTATCTGTACTCTTCCTTTAAAAAAAAAAAAATCCGTACCTCTGAGAGTGTTAAATACATGAGTCATTTGCACAGTTTAAATAAGTGGGAGGATGGCCAAAAATGAGCTTTGGTTTTTTTTTTCAAAACCGTCTCTAAGGCCAGTCCATGCCCAGAAATAGAGGAAGGGCCACCTCCTCTTCTTTGAAAAGTGCTCTTAGTATTTGCAGTGGAACTGTATTAATTAGGCCATCCTCTTTTTCTGTACGGAAAGTGCATTTCAAGTTCTAGGTGCCTAACTTGCTTAGTTTACAACTAAGAAGGCCCCAAAAGTTAGTGTGTATGTAGGAAAATGTATGTCTGCTTCAATACAGAAGTAAAATAACTGATTCAGTTCTGATGACAAACCCAGGTTTACCATGAGGGAAGGCAGTGCAAATGGTCAAGAGCTTGGATTCCACAGCTTATAAACAATAATAAAGAGAATTGGGGATTTTATTTTATTTTTTTTAAAGATTTATTTATTTATTTTGAGAGAATGAGATAGAGAGAGAGAGCATGAGAGGGGGGAGGGTCAGAGGGAGAAACAGACTCCCTGCCGAGCAGGGAGCCCGACGTGGGACTCAATCCCAGGACTCCAGGATCATGACCTGAGCCAAAGGCAGTCGCTCAACCAACTGAGCCACCCAGGCGCCCCATGAGAACTGGGGATTTTAGCTTGAAGAAGAAACTTGGGGCATTGCTCAAAATTCTGAAAGTTTTTTTGTAGAAAAGTCATTATATGTTACTTAAGAGGACAGATGTAAGTCTGAGAGGTAGGAATAACAAGGAAAATGAAAAGGATTTTCTAATTAGAGGGGGATAACAGTAATAATTGGCTACGCTTTGAAGTCATGTGCGCCCCATCCCTGGAAGTAGGCCTACCTGGATAAGAGGTTCAGTTAGGTAACCTCTAAAGCCCCTTCCAACATGAAGATTCTAAAATTGTATGAAATACAGTATTTTTGAAAAATTAGCCAGCAATGGCTTAAGAATATTGGTTTTAGAAACCACTATCTGCTCCTTATTTTCTTAAGGCAGCAAGCCTTAATCTCTTTATTCTTTTTACTCTGACAAATGTATGCTTTTTCTGACCTTTGAGAACCTTCCCACTTTCCTTTATCCTTATCATTCCATTCAGTTCTGTAAGCCCTTGTCACTTGCTCATATGAGATGAGGCAGTATGGAATTGGGGCACAGGCTTGCCAGTTAGAAGCAGATAGCTTGTGTTTGAGTTTCCTGCACTGTTGTCTTTATTGTGATATCATTTGCAAATTACAGAAAATTCAGCTGCAAGTTACAGAGAATCCAACAGAGGCATAATGAGAAGACCTTGATTATGTCGGAAGTTCCCAAGACCACCCGTAGGTTTGATGAGCACCCACCAAAATGGGGGTTGTTTTGGCAAGAAGGAAGGGGCTAGGCATTGGATAGGCAGTCAGCAGAGTCTTCCGCTATCTTAATGGGCAAATCATTTATCCTCTGTGAGCCTTGGCTTACCTATCTGTAAACTGGGCAGATTATACCTATTCTTCCCAGGATAATTGTGAGATTAAAATGACTACTTTCATGGGGCACCTGGGTGTCTCAGTCGTTAAGCATCTGCCTTCGGCTCAGATCATGATCTCGGGGTCCTGGGATCGGCCCCGCATCGGCTCCCTGCTCTGCGGGAAGCCTACTTCTTCCTCTCCCGCTCCCCCTGCTTGTGTTCCCTCTCTCGCTGTCTCTCTCTCTGTCAAATAAATAAATAAAATCTTTTAAAAAATAAATAAATAAAATGACTACTTTCATTGTTAGCAGTTTGCCCCCTCCTTCCATAAGGCTGCGTCGTCATACTCACCGAGAGCCATTTTTCTTAGTCTTTCTTTTCTTCTTTGGTTGCTGCTTTAGTTCAGACCTCTTTGTGCCTATGTTCCTGAAGTGGATATTGTACTATTACTTCCTGTTAACTCTTATCTTAGTCTCAATTTTTTCTAACCACTTAATGAAAACTGTCTTTAACTTGGTGTCATCCAATATATTAATTTGCAAAATTAATAAACTACTTCTCATCTTTATGAGCTTCTTACCTGAAAATCTCCTGTCATACTTTCCCACACCCCACTCCCTCTGATTTCAGAATCCATCGCACTCTAATTACTCTTGGGAGACCTTCTCCCTCCCTTCTCTGAGTGCCTCTGTTTAATGATTATTCTTGCTTCTCTTGTCTTTGAGCCTTTTATTGGCTTGTTTGTTTAGAAATGGACATTCCTTGAGGGCAAGAACTGTATTTCCTCCAGTGTTCTCCATGTTCAGTGTACTCTACTCTTGGAGTTATTAAAATCTGAGAATTGAGATTATTATGCTAAAATACCAGTTTTTATTTTTTTAAATTTATTTATTTATTTAAGTAATCCCTACACCCAGTGTGGGGCTCGAACTCATGACCCCGAGATCCACAGTCACACGCTCTTCAGACTAAGCCAGGCACCCCAAAATACCAGTGTTTTTTTTTTTTTTAAGATTTTATTTATTCATTTGAGATAGAGAGAGCACACGTAGTGGGAGAGGCAGGGGGAGAGGGAGAGGGAGAGGGAGAAGCAGGCTTCCCGCGGGGAAGCAGGGAGCCCGACGTGGGGCTCGATCCCAGGACCCCGGGACCATGACCCGAGCCGAAGGCAGACGCCCAACGACCGAGCCACCCAGGTGCCCAAAATACCAGTTTTTAAATGGCAGTCCTCCTTAGAATAAAAATGATGATTCTAATTAAAAACATTCTCCTGAGAAAATTTTAAAAGGAAACCCTGCTCTTTTAGAACTTTAGATTTCTTTGACTGTCAGCAAAGAATATTTTTACAAAATAATCTGGCTGTCTACCCAATTTATCATACCACTTTGTAAATAGACTAGTCATAACCAAAGAGAAATGAGGGACCACCCTAAAACTCAGCACTATTATGTTGCTCCCCATTCATCCATCTAGCAAGTACTTATTGGTCATTCATTGGGGATACAGTGGTGAATCAGACAACCTTGGTCCCTGCCCCAGTGGGACTTAGGGTGGGCCTTCAGTCTAACTGAGAAGACAGAGCCACCAAGCAATCAGTAGAGTGTCATGAATATTGTTGGTCTGGCAACACAGGTGCTGAGGGAACACATCTCAGGAGCTCCTGCTCTAATCAAGGAGCCAGGGAACATTGCCTGAGAAGTGCTATCTATCTATGTAAGCGGAGACCCACAGTATATGTAGAGTTGGCCAGATAAAAGTGTTTCAAACCAAGGAATAATGTATCTGAGACCTCCTTGGAGGTACTCAAGAATTTCTCGGGGTCATATGAATGTAGAATAGGAGGGGGAAGAATGGTGAGAATGAAACCAGAGGCAAGTAGTATCCGGTGGTATAGTCACAATGGGCTGTTGACATCACTGACAGGTAAATGCCACCAAACACAATGGGAGAAAATAGACTGCTTATGGTAAAGGCCACAGAAAGTGGGAGAGAGGGTCATCCTGATTGGCAGATAGTACTGCTGCTCCTAGGTAGCAGTACAAGTTGCCTGATTCTCTGGAAGAGATACCAGCCACCAGTGAGGGTTTAATCTGGTGTGCCAAGCTCCCTTTGCCATTCTTATCTGGGTTTTCCCCCGCCTGAGTGTTGAGAGAGTCAACCTACCTGCCCCTCAGCAGGTGCAAGTAGCAGAGGCAAGACTGCCCTAACTTAGAGAGTATTTCCCACTAGATGAGATTGGAAGGCCAGTTGCCCAGGAGCATCCCCTAGCAAGTCCAGCTTCAGAACCTGCCTGAGGTTGCTTCCTGCAGCCTGCGCTGTATACAGTGTGGACTTAGAAACAATATTTGTTGGAGCGCCTGGGTGGCTCAGTCGTTGGGCGTCTGTCTTTGGCTTGGGTCATGACTCCAGGGTCCTGGGATCGAGCCCCGCGTTGGGCTCCCTGCGCGGTGGGGGGCCTGCTTCTCCCTCTCCAGCTCCCCCTGCTTGTGTTCCCTCCCTCACTGTTTCTCTGTCAAATAAATAAAATCTTAAAGAAAATTATTAAAAAAACAGTATTTGTCTACGTACAGACCTTTATGTTATAGTTGAAATAGAGCCTTGATACTTGTGTCTTTTCAAGTTTTCAGGAAAGTTAAATTTGTGCTTTTGCTTTGTTTTGTAAAGATGAAAGTTTGCCTGTTCCAGTTCTGTTTTTATTTTTTTATTTTTTTATTTTTAAAGATTTTATTTATTTATTGGACACAGAAAGAGCACAAGCAGGGGGAGCAGAGGGAGAAGCAGGCTTTCCACTGAGCAGGGAACCTGATGCAGGCCTTGATCCCAGGACCCTGGGATCATGACCCGAGCTGAAGGCAGGCACTTAACGACTGAGCCTCCCAGGTGCCCCTACGTGTTCCAGTTTTAATCTTATTCTGCATATTTGCTCATTATTATTAGGTTAAGGATTTATGTTTATATTAGGGCTTGCCAAGATTTCTATTTATTAAAAATTCCTCCAGATTTATTACGGGATGGCTTAATCTAGGGAAGGAAGGGCATGTTTTCTTTGAACAAGAGGGAAGGAGAAAATAAAATAGGATATTTAGGGTCTGGAAAGGAAGGAAAGTGAAAGGGAGCCTTGATCTTATCTGTGAAGTTGGAAGGAAGATTATCTACTGAGATAAATTAAAATGAGAGACTGGAGAAGGGCAAGACAAGTCTGAAACAGCTACTGGGGGAGAAGGGTGGGAGAATGCTAGCACTTTTGAAAGAGATAAATTAAAGGCCTGGTATGGATGGCTAGCCCACCCAGAAAGTGAAGTACTGTCAGTACTGTCAGTGCTGTCAGTGTTTGAAGTCCTAGTTAACAAGAATCGTGCCCTGTGGTTTAAGATTCCCGTGAGAGCTCTTTAAGGGAACAATCACAAATATAATAACCATTGTACTTGAACGGAGCATAGACTGTCTTTTATTCTTTACAGACTATCTGTTTAGCTTTGCAACTGCTGCTACAAAAAAGATAACTGAATCAGTTGCTGAAACAGCACAAACAATAAAGAAATCAGTAGAAGAAGGAAAAATAGATGACATCATTGATAAGGTACATTTAAACATCTTTTGAAATTGATTAGCAGCTTATATAATTATCCCTTTTTATGAACTTTATCAACCCAAGTAGGATATCATATTCTGATAAAAATATTGTTTTGAGATTCTTGGGGTTTTTTTTTTCTCTTTTTGTGTAAGAAGTAGCTATGATTTAAATAACCTTGGTTTTAATTTTAATATATTCTAAAATACACTGATACTTTTGGGTAACACTAAACTTTTTATATTGTGAATTTAATTTTAAACTATAACTGTTTCCAAATATTTATGCCTTTGAGTCAGTCATTTAAGTGTTTAAAGTCCTAGCCCATTAGGAATTACACTTTTAAGTAAGTTTGTTCATTTCCTACAGTGGTAGGGTCCAAGCCCAGGGAATTTCATTTATGTTGGGAATTATTTGAACTAAGGAGGTCATCAATTAAACTTTAGATAGCTTGTTATTTAGATGCTTTGTTATGTGTACTATTTGTTAGAATGAGATTTGACTTGGTTTTTATTGTTTTTTTGGAATAAAGCAAAAATTCAGTTTTTAACTCATTTTATCTTTGCATTTGAAAAGATAATCCATCACAAAAGAGTTGTATACTTGAAATTCAGGAATGTTGAATTTCTGTTTGTTGGGGAAAGGGGGAAGTATTACTTTTTTAACCGTTTTATTTGAAGAAAATTAATAAAATATCTCCTGACTTCACAAATCTTAAATGTAATTCTTATCTAATAATAAAGTTCTCAAAGTAACTTGACTCTTTGTATATTTTTTAACAGACAATTATAGGAGATTTTCAGAAGGAACAGAAAAAATTTGTTGAGGAACAGCTTACCAAAAAGTCAGGTATGATGTAGGTTTTTTGTACACGATGTATTTACCTGCCAGATTTTATTGAGCACCTATTAATGTGCCAGACACCACACTAAGGCTCTGACAATACAAAAATGTGTAAGTAACAGCCCCGTCCTTCAGTAGCACAAACACTAGTTGGGGAGACAAGCTCATAAACGTTTGGGCTTTAAAGGAAGGAAGGATATTGTTCCCTGTGGCTGGGATGGAGGGTGAGACCAGCGGGTGACAACCCCTCTGGGGAGCTGGCTCTGAAAGAGAGTGAGCTTTCATTTCTCAGTTTAGAACATGTCCAGCACAATGTGTGATGTACACATAATAGGCACTTAGCAAAAGTTGGCTTCATTCCCATTCTCGTCGGGAGGAAAAAATAAAGAGCTTTCCAGCGGAGTGACAGGGGGCTGTGAAAAGTCACAAGGTATTGTGAGAAATTACTCAATACATTTCTTTCTTCCTTTTTTTAAAAAAGATTTTATTTATTTATTTAGAGAAAGAGAGAGCAGGGAGCCCAATGCAGGGCTTGATCCCAGGACCCTGAGATCATGACCTGAGCCGAAGTCAGATGCTTAACCGACTGAGCAACCCAGGCGCCCCTCAATACATTTCTTTACTGACAAGTGCTCGTTTAAATGTTTGATAGTTATCGGGTCTCAGAATGTCTACTTTTGCTGTTTGGATGTACTCAAACACAAAACTGGCCTCATGTCTTTGAATTTGGCAAAAGGGTAAAATAATTCGATCAGTTTGAGCAGTGCCACAAATTCAAAAAGAGCTAGTTCGTCGTGTGGTGAGTCAGGCATTGTCATGCCTAGGTAAACTCAAGGTGTAAAGCAGATCTTTGGGACAAATACTCTGTACAAATTAGCATACCTTCGTGATTTGTGGGAAGCAGTGTGGGAAGCAGTGCAAGTGATCCTGGCTTAGAGACTTGGGGTAGGATTTGGTTGCAGCCTCTGAGATAGGAACTTGGAGGCAGTAGGGTGAAAGGATTGAAGGTACTTTCAGTTTTGAGGTGCCCAGGTGAGAGGAACATGTACAGAAGCAGAGAAGGGAATGCAGGTGGCATATCAGGAAAATGCCCTTGCTCAGTTGCACTAGTCACATTTCAAGGGCCCAACAGCCCCATGGGAGCTACCGGCTTCCATATTGGACAATGCAAATCTGGAACATTTCCATTATTACAGAAAGTTCTTTTGGTCACAACTGCTCTAAATTAACTGAATGGGGTCCAGCAGCAGCAGTTGATTCCTATTTGAAGCATGGAGAATTCCATCTGCCAGTAGAGATTATTAGTTAAGTCATGTAAAAACCATGAGAGTAGGTGACCTCAGTGAAAAGTGTGTCAAACATGAAGAGGGCTGAGCAGAGATCTAGTGTTGAGGGGAAGGGAGGAACGGGAGAAACTGACAGTTCCTGAGCACCTGCTAAGTGGTGGGTACTTTATATACAGTATCTTCTTTTTTTTTTTTTTTAAGATTTTATTTATTTATTCGACAGTGACACAGAGAGAGAGGGAACACAAGCAGGGGGAGTGGGAGAGGGAGAGGCAGGCTTCCCGCCGAGCAGGGAGCCCGATGTGGGGCTCGATCCCAGGACCCTGGGATCATGACCTGAGCCGAAGGCAGACGCTTAACGACTGAGCCACCCAGGTGCCCCTATACAGTATCTTCTTTAGTAAAAGGAAGGATTAGCAAGGTTAAGTGATTTGCTGAAGGTTGCTCAGCTGGTAAGTGATGAAACACACCTGCCATTTAAAAAACAAACAAACAAACACAAAACTGCCCATTTACCTGAGAGAGAACAGCTAGGAGACAGAAGCAATGGAATCCCAGAGAGGGGAGAATTTCAAGGAGAGTGAGGTCAGCTGAGAGGTCCATTTACAAGGACCATGAAGAGAGGCACTGTGTGAGTATCCCGCATGCATTTGTTAATTTAACACTCACAGTAACTCTCTGAAGTACTTTTCTCTCCATTTTGCAGAGAAGGAAACTCGGCCTAGAGAGAAAAGAACTAGGAAGTGTCCATGGGTTGGACAACCAGGAGGCTATTGATTTACCCTAAAAAGAGCAGTTTAGAGGAGCAGGGAGGTGGGCGGTGTCTCATCTGTACCAGTAGGTTGGGCCTTGAGAGGACCTCACCTGAGGGTAAGAAACACCAGGAGAGGCTGTCCAAGGTGAATAGACTTAAAATGGAGGCCAGAATATTAAAGTAAATAGTGTAAGGGGAAAAAAAAGTTGTTGTTTTTAAGATTTCATTTACTTATTTGCCAGAGAGGGAGGGAGAGAGAGAGAGAGAGAGAGCGAGAGTACAAGCAGGGGGAGTGGCAGGCAGAGGGAGAAGCAGACTCCCCACTGAGCAGGGAGCCCAACGTGGGGCTCGACCCCAGGACCCCGGGATCATGACCCGAGCCGAGGGCGGATGCTTAACCAACTGAGCCACCCAGGCGCCCTGGAAAAAAGTTTTGAAAGGGCTTTACCCCAGATTTTTTTTAAGTATGAAAATATGTTTATTTTATCTTATAGTTAACGGAATTTGGATTATAATTGCCACATTTGCTTGCCTAGGATAAGCCAAAGAATGAGCCAGGTGTCTGTCCACATGTCCATCCACACATGCACATAACTTTTCTATCAGCTGGTACACAATAGGATGTCTCTTCCATTGGACTTTTGCAACATGATAGAAAGGGAGGTTGTTTTGGCGAAAAGATTAGGACCCCCTGCATGTCTGTCTTCTGTGCTGACCCCCACCTCCACAGCCTTGGCTCTGCCCTCTTGCGCTGCCCTGGTTCAGACGGTAGAGCTGCTCAGATGAGCAAAATACTCACGGTCTTTGTCTCCACTCTTTCACACTTGCTGCTCCCTCTGAATACCCCCTACACACATCCACCACTGAATTCCTCCTAGACCAAGATCAGCTCCCAGGTCTCCGCAGAAAACCCCTGGGACTCACCTCTCAGTGGTTGCCATTTGTTTTCTGGCATTATAAGCCTGCTTAAGTTGTACTCCTCCTTTTTCTTGTGAGCCCCAAAGACAATGTGTCTTTTGTAGATCCTGGCCCTATTGTTTATTGCCGCTGATTTGCCCATTTCTTTCTTCATTTGCTTTCAGTCCTGACAACCCTTTTCTCAATTCCTAATTGCTTATCACCTTTTGTCATGAATCAAGTACAGTGACGTTTTAAAAAGAACTTTTTAATTAGAAATAATTTCAATTTACAGAAATGTGCAAGTATAAAAGGAGTACTGAGCACACCCTTGACACCCTCTACCTAGGTTGTTGGTTTTATTCCATCTGCCTTATCCTTTGCTCTCTTTCTCACTCTGTGTGTCTTGTCTTTTCTGTTCCACTCAGTGTGTGTTTCCTAAGAATTAGGGATATTCTCTTACACAATCCCGTTAACAGCTTTAGGAAATATAACATTGATATAATGTGCATATTCTAATTTTGTCAGTTGACCTAGTAATGTCCTTTGTACATTTTCCCCCTCAATACAGCATGCAGTCTAGGGTACAGTATTGTAGCTTTTGTCATGTGTCTTAGCCTCCTTTAATCTGCAACATTTCCGTGGTCTTTGTCTTTTAGGACATTCATGTTTTGGAAGGATACTCCCCCCCTTTTTTTTAAGACTTTATTTATTAGAGAGAGAGAGAGCACCAGCAGGGGGAGGGGCAGAGGGAGAAGGAGAAGCAGACTCCCCACTGAGCAGGGAGCCCGATGTGGGACTCTATCCCAGGACCCTGGGATCATGACTTGAGCCGAAGGCAGACACTTAACCGACTGAGCCACCCAGGCGCCCCTCCCCTCCTCCTTTTTTTAAATGAACCATTCCTCAGTTGGGCTTTGGCTGATGTTTCCTCATGATTAGATTCAGATTATGCATTCTTGGCCAGAATACCACATAGATGATGTTGTGACCTCCTCAGGATATCACATCTGGAGGCCTACAGTGGCCATCTCTTTCTCATTGGTGATGATGATTTGGGTCACCTGGTCAAGGTGTTGTCCATTTCTCCACCATGTAATTTAAGTAATTTTTTTTTTTACCAAATGCTTACATGCTTTAGTCATATATCACGTCTGGGAATTACGATGAATGTTCATGTTTGGAACTTGTTAGTAAATTGCTAAAATGATTATGTGGAAACTTTCTCATTCTTTCAAACCACAGATTGCAGTGTAACCCTTGTAAGCTGTTTTTCTCTTTTCTTTGTTATTAAAAACCTTTAGAAGCAGCAGTGCCCCCATGGGTTGATAGTAATGATGAAGAAACAATTCAACAACAAATCTTGGCCTTATCAGCTGTAAGTATCTGTGATTCCCTGTGTAGAAATGCTTTCTTCCTATTGTGATTTTATCCTTAGAATGTTTTTCTTCTATACAGTTTTTTAAATGTTTTGAGATGTTAGGACTGTACACATCAACTTTCACTGTTTTTTTCCCCCTGTCTCCCCCCTCCAGGTTTAACCTGCTTCTCTTTAAGTTCTTTTTTATTAATGGTAAAGTATAATCTAATTACACAAAATAATTCTTTCGGCCTTAAAAGGATTCTTTTATGTTACTAAGATAATCTTTGAGATATGCTATCATATAAATTTTGTAGATAGCATTCTAGTTTGTCTGAATGAAAAGATGGTATTCTGAATTTTCTCTTTAACTGTTACATATATTTGAAACTGCAATTGAAAAAAAATAAGATTTTCTGTGCTGGCCCACAAAAATTTCTCTCAAGACTTCAGAGGGAACACAGTGATACCAGTTAACAATTGTATAGCACCTGACAGTTTCAGAAAGAACTTTCTTAAGCATTATCTCCTTTGAGCTTCACGCACACCTGTGAGGTAGATAGGAGCTTTTATCGCCATATACAGCGGTGAGGATGTGACTCCCAAATGTGACCCTCACTACTTAACATGTGTCTCAACTGGGCTGTGCATTCTTAGTGGGCAGAAGCTGGCTTTGATCTCTGTCCTCAGCACCCAGGAGCCTGCCTGGCATAGGACTCAGCAAATAGGGCTTTTACTGTATCAGTGGCTTTCAAGCTTTGTTTTTAATCCACTCTTTTTTTTTTTTAGCTAAAGTCATAAATGGAACTTCAGCCTAGGAAACAGACAGAGAACTGGGCTCTTTCCTTCCCTTCCATTGCCCTCCCCCAGGACATTTTATGGTTTTTTCTTTTCCATTAGTAAATCCTTCAAAGGCCTGAGCATCCATTATGAGTTCAGTGTGAACCCCATGTGTTTTGTTTACTGTGTTATGGCCAAACTTGATGCTGATGTCACATAATGCTTTTCTCCAGAAGTGAATTGGGACAGTGAAACTGTCATTTGAGGGCAAACATCGGATACTCACCAGTCAAGTCCCCACAGCTCCTCTGTCCCCCCCGACCTGTTCCTGTCCTCATCTTCTCCATCTTAAAATAAGATTCCAGTTATCCACCAGTTTTTTCTAGTCACCAGCCTAGGAGTCTTCCTTCGGTCACACGCACCCCCACACCCGGGCCCACCCACATCCTGACAATGCTGTGTTCAAAATATACCTCTACTCCACTTCTCCACTGCCACCACCGTGGTCCTGATGCCCTCATCTGCCTCCAGCATCCCAGCTGCTGTCCCATCCTTGGCCCTTTCCCTACAAGCTCACATCAGCAGCCACAGGGGTCTAGTTATGGTATAAATCCCTTCATGTCACTTTCCTACATAGAGCCTTCCAGTGGCATCTCGTCTCCTGTAGGCAAAGATCTCAGTTCCCCCTACTGGCTTCTAAGGCCCTTGGCTTGGCACACCTCTCTTCCCTTGTGCCCCACTTCCCTGCCTCCCAGCACTCCAGCCACTGTTTCTGATGTACAAGCAAGCCGAGCTTTGTCCTGCTTTAGTGCCTTGTGATTGCTGTCCCCTCTTCCTGGAACCCCAGCCTACACCATTTCATAAGATCACATCTCAAATGGCACCTCCTCCCTAACCATCCTTTCAGCCCTCCACCAGTTACCCCATCTATCTCATAGCCTTAGCAATCTAAGCCTGTGTCTGTCTCTTCCCACGTCCCCACCCCACAACTGGAATAGAAATGCCGTGAAGGCTGGGACCCCATCTGTGCTGTGCCCTGCTGAGCAGGTGACACAGTGCCTGGAGCACAACAGGTGCTGACTGGGTGATGCACACACACGCCTACAAGAGAGCACCCCTGATTTTAACGTGGCACAGAGGCTTTGAATGAACTTCAGTACATCCTTTATAGTGGCTCCTGAATTTGTTAAGATAGACTAAATTGCTATAATAGAGAAATCCAAAAATACAGAAGGTTAAATAAGCTGTGACTCTGTCTCCCTCCCTTCTTCTCCCTCACATGAGAGTCCAGAGGTAGATGGTCCACGTAGATGTGCTTTGCCCGTGAAGTCATCTACAGACCCAAGTATTTCCTGTCTTAATCCTTTCCTATGCCAGAGTCTAGGGTGTTATCTGCCTTCTCTATGGGGAAGGCAGCTCCGTGACCATGGCTGTGTTCCAGCCTGTGGGAACTGGGAAAGAGGTGGGTGGGCATGCCAGACTGAAAGATGAGACTCAGAAATTGTACCTATGACTCAGGCCTACATCCCTTTGGCAACCTAGATGCATGGTCACTCCTAGATGCCAGGGAGCCTGGGAAATCTGGTCTCTGGCTGGGTGGCCACATGCCCAGCAGGAGCTCAAGAGTTTTGTGATCCTTTTTTTTTTTTTTAAAGATTTTATTTATGTATTTGACAGAGAGAAACACAGCGAGAGAGGGAACACAGCAAGGGGAGTGGGAGAGGGAGAAGCAGGCTTCCCGTGGAGCAGGGAGCCGGATGCGGGGCTCAATCCCAGGACCCTGGGATCATGACCTGAGCCAAAGGCAGACGCTTAACGACTGAGCCACCCAGGTGCCCCCGAAGAGTTGTGATCTTAAAAGGAAGGAAGGAAGGGATACTGGGAGATAATTAGCGGTCTCTGCCAGAGTTGCCTTACATTCTCTGACTTGCCAAGCACTAGTTGGGACAATTCAGAGCCTATAGCAGATTAACCCTTTAAGCTACTTATGTTGGGGCACCCCTTATGGCATAATGCTGTCATTAGGTAGTTATGAGAACTCAGTTCTGCAAATTGTGTTTAGAACCTCCTCTGGGCCATCCTTGTCCTAGGACTGGAAGTAGATGAGACATGCCCATCAAGAGCCTGAAGGCCTACTGGACAGCTGCTAGATGAGTACACACAGCATCATTCCCTGTGATTAGCACTGTAATGCAGGATGGTAACGAGGCACTGAGGAGAGGGGCATCTCACTGGTTTTGGAGAGGGGAGGGAATGATCTCAGGGAAGCTTCCCAGAACTGATGACATTGAAACTGTTACTGAATCTTGGGAGGAGGGTGTGTGGATGTTTGGCGGATGCAGGGCAGGGTTTGAGGTTCAGATAGGGAGTGTTGTAAGCATTTGGGTATGACTGAACTGTAGGATGCAGGTGGAGGGGTGGATAGGAAGCCAGGTCATGAAGACCTTTTTATACCTTTCTGATAAGTTTGGGTTTCATCTTAAAGGCAACAAAGGAGTCACTGAAGGATTTTAGTGGTAGGGAAAACACATATTTTTCTTGGGCAGGGTAGAAAGTGGGTTGCTCTGGGTGAGAAAAGTGGGACTGGAGACAGCTACTCCTTCAGCGGCTGCTGTAGAGATCCAGGTGAAACTTGATGGGGCAATTTTAGGCTTTGCAATTTTTAGGCTAGAAGGTAAAATAACTAAAATCCATTTAGGTTCAGATTTGTTCTTGCTTTAATGTAGGAATTCTCCAAAAGCAAAAATACTGTTAAAATCTAACATGGGCAAGATGAGATGAAACTGACTGGTGCTTTTAGTAGCCAGCTTCTAAGATTTAAGTAGCCAATTTTCTAAGATTATTCTACACTAGTTTTTCACATACCTAAAGGTGCTCACGGAAACAAACGTGTTCATACAATTTCAAACTCTAATTTTGCTAATTGCACGACTGAATTTCCTGGCCTCCCATGAGGCTCTCTTCAGTTGAGACTGTTAAATATGTGACAGGATCAGTCATTCTCCGCTCTCTTAAGCAGACAGGTTAATAGATACCTCAATGGACTTTGTGGCTGAAATCTTTAGGAGAATTCAGTATCTGTCAAATCAGTGATGCATTGTTACATATTAATTGCATCCTATGGTTTCCTGCATGTTTTTCCCCTTTTCATCAAAGGACAAGAGGAATTTCCTTCGTGACCCTCCAGCTGGAGTGCAGTTTAATTTTGACTTTGACCAGATGTATCCCGTCGCCCTGGTCATGCTTCAAGAGGACGAGCTGCTGAGCAGGATGAGATTCGCCCTTGTTCCTAAACTGTAAGCAGTGTGTTCCTGAGCCGGAGTAGCGCTATGCACAGTATCAAGGAAAAGTTGTGGAATGGTTTCCTACTCTCTCTCCTTGAGAACAGGCTCTGTGGCCCTTTAGCTCGCTCACTTGCCTTCTTGCTGTCTCTCTGTCTCTCTGTCTCTCTGTCTCTCTGTCTCTCTGTCTCTCTGTCTCTCTGTCTCTCTGTCTCTCTCCTGCCTGAGCCCAAGTGTGGAGTGGCTTGGCTCGGAGTGGACTGTCGCTCCCCACTGCGTGGGAGCGCAGACCCTGGCTGGCAGGGGCAGCGCGGGAGTCACGGCAGCAGGCCGCTCCTGGGGGGCCTTGCCACCACTCCTCCTGTCCTGAGCCCAGCCTGCACCAGCCTTCAGAGACGCCTGCTGCCTCGTGTCCCCAGGTCTTTGCGAGCAGACACCCGGTGGACAGGCCTGTTCTTGAGGCCTGTCCTCTCTGCGTGCGGCTCGCTGCAGTGCTCACTCGTCTGCAGGGTAAATTACGCTTCGCCCTTCACCTTTCCAGCTTCCACTGTGGTTTTCTCGCCAGTTCTCTTTGTCATGTGGATTTTATCTACTGAATGCCTTTTCTGTTAGTTTACAAGTGTTTTCAAAGGGAGCACAAATAAATACGTGTTCATTGTGCTATGTTTAGCTGGCCAAAGAGGGTTTTGTTTTGTTTTGTTGTTAATATTTTATTTATTTATTTGACAGAGAGAGAGAACCCAAGTAGGCAAAGCGGCAGGCAGAGGGAGAAGCAGACTCCCCACTGAGCAGGGAGCCCGATGCGGGGCTTGATCCCAGGACCCTGGGACCATGACCTGAGCCGAAGGCAGACACTTAACCAACTGAGCCACCCAGGCGCCCCCAAACAGGAGTTTTAACAAATATTTGCTAGTCCTTTGGTTCACATGGAAGCCAAGTTCTTCTGTCTGTGTGAGAAGAACAAGTGTTCTTGCGGACTTGGAACAGCAGTTATATTGAACCTTTCACTTATGTTTACTTTGTAGTGAAACTCTTCATAATTATCAACGTGTTGGTGGTGAAGTTTTGTAGCCTTCCCCTCCCCTCCTAAAAAGAAGAGTATGTGTTATATGGCTAAAATCTCATTACAAATCTAATTCTTAGATTGTGTCTAAAGTAGCTAGTTTTGGGGCACCTGGCTGGCATGACTCGATCTCAGAGTCATGAGTTCGAGCCCCACATTGGGGGTAGAGATTAAACAAAATAAATAAAGTAGCTATTTTTAGTGAAGGATATCAAAAAATTATCATCTGATCTGTTCTTTACTATTTTGCTCACAAAACCCTGAGAGTTGCCTTTTGAACAGTTCATGTGTATATATATCTGTTGGGCTCTCTTTCATCTCAGAATTTGAGGTTATACCTATTCTGAATAACTGCCTCCTCCTGAGAGAAAAGTAGCAAAGCTCTGGAATTCAGGTGGGCTTTGTACCTAAAGTCTCCATCAACTTGAAGACCATTCGAATCACCACGGGCCACACGGTGGGCTCCCTGCCAGAACTCTGGGAGACTGTCCAGAGGCCCGGGGATGCTGGATCGTGTGGCCTGGGGTACTCAACAGCAGGCGTGTAAGCCAGCTTTGGTTCCATAGCTTTGCTTGTTGACAATTCTGGACTCCTTACGGCTGAGAGTAATTCTAGAGTTTTTAAAAGATTTGGAGAGTTGGTATTTGGCAAATAGTATTTCTAGTTTGTTGCTGGCTAGGTAAATTGTTGAGTAATATAATTCCAGTTTCCTATTGTTAATTCTGTTAGGGATGATTTTAGAAATTAGGGTTATCACTTTTTATAAGTCTTTTCTGTTGGAAATGCATACTGAAATATTTGTGGATGAAAGGCTGTAATATCTGGCATTGCCATAAAATATTCCATCCCACACCCAGAGAAAGGCATGCGTGCAGGGGAGAGGAGCATAGATAAAACCTGATTGGCAAAATACTGGTGATTGTTGGCTAGGTCCCGGGTACATCGGGGCTTCTTTGTCCTAGTCGCTCCACTTTTGTTTTTGTTGAAACTTCCATAATAAAACAAATGAGCCATCATCACACACAAATCCAGGACTTCTGGACTTTCCTCTCTGGCATGCAGAAGTGCAACTTTGATCATTTGAGACACTTTTTGTAAACAGAAGCCATCATTACCCAGGAACAATTTAGAAAATCATTCAGAACAAACACTTGCTCTGTATTTCAAAAGACCTTTTAGTGCGTGAACACTTCCCTGCAACACCAGTGCTGGCATGAGCCAGGACTCTTGCATCACAAACACCCTCTGAGGCCTTCACTCTGACGACAGTAGAAAAATCACAAGTCCTTTCCAGCCTGGGACTGACCTATGCCCATTGTTTCTCAGAGGGTGTTTACAGCATTCTAATGCCTTAAAATAGTCCATGAAAGCATAAGTGGTAAGATAGACATTTGGGAGTTGCTATGTTTCATGGTTTTCTTTATCATAGGGCTTCTCAGAATTTTTTTTTTTTAAGATTTTATTTATTAGAGAGAGAGTGTGTGCACGAGCAGGGGAGAAGGGCAGAGGGAGAGGGAGAAGCAGACTCCCCACTGAGCAGGGAGCCCGATGCGGGGCTCTATCCCAGGACCCTGAGATCGTGACCTGAGCCGAAGGCAGGCACCTAAGCTGACTGAGCCACCCAGGTGCCCCTCTCAGAATCTTTATTATGTCATGCGCATTGTGACTCTGTCCAGAGTGTAACAGAATATTTCTCTAGTGTGCCTCTGTGACCACTTTCTCTTACATCAAGAGGGAGAGACTCTGGGAAAGGAAATAGTCCAGATGTTTGTTTCTATTAAGAGAGCAAACATTGCCCATAATCTGCTGAAGATTGGTGGTACACCTGTTTCATTTTGGATATTTCGTAGAGCTCAGAATTAAGTGACTTTGAAAACATTCAGGCAGCTCACTACCTCACGGGAAGCTAAGCTCACTTCTGTCTAACTGTGATGTTAACAGTGTAGGATTCTTGAACTTATCCAGGTAAAGAGCCCCAGTTCTTTTTTTTTTTTGTTCTCTGGGGTATCTTCAGTTCTATACCCCCTCACCATCCAGCTCCAAAAGTGAGTTCTCCGAAGTGAATATAAAGTGTTGTCTAATTACAGAAGAGCACACTACAGGTATTTATTGTATTGCTTTTTAAAGATTTATTTATTTTACTTATTGACAGGGTTGGGGGTGGAGAATCCTGAAGCAGCCTCCCTGCTGAGCGGGAAGCCTGACACAGGGCTCGATCCCACGACCCCGAGATCATGACCTGAGCTGATACCAAAAGTCAGCCACTTAACCAGCTGAGCCACCCAGGTGCTCCTTGTGTTGCTTTTTAATGCTGCCTAAGATTTTGTTAGCTTTTCTAGTGGCTGCAGCATACTCTTGTTTGCTCAGTTAAACTTGTGGTTGACTGTAATACCTCACAAACTGCTTTTAAGCCACGCCTCCCTCCTGCTGAACTATTTCCAAGAGATGTTATAAAGAAAAGAGAATCGTGAGACCACATGAGTTTGGGAAATGCTACTTGTCATTTACTTGGCATAGTAAGAACTTAACAAGTAAGAGGTCATTATTCCTGTGACCATCTGTGTTGGCAGATAACTTGGTTTATTCGTCCCTGAATCACCTGGATAGGGCTTGATGCATGTGGCACTCAGTAAATATTGGTGGAATTAATGAAAGAAAAGATGGGCTGCATCTAGCAGTATGTCATCTTGTTACCTAGCCTAGCCTGTGTAGATAATCTTGTATTTTGCCTCTGTTGCTTAAAAAAGCCAGCCTCTGTTGGGGCACTTAGTTGGTTCAGTTGGTTAAGCGTCCGTCTCTTGATTTTGGCTCAGGTCACGATCTCAGGGCTGTAAGATCGAGCCCCACATTGGGCTCCATGGTGGGTGTGAAACCTGCTTAAGATTCTCTCTCGCTCCCCTACTCCCTCTCTTAAAAAAGGAAAAAAAAAAAAAAAGGCTAGCCTCTGTCACTTAAAAAGCTAGTCTCCTGGCCCAGCTTCACCATTCACAGATGTGACAACTGTGTGTTCTTATGTCTTACCTAAGGCAAGTCCTGTCTTCATCCATAAGCCTGCATCTCAGAATTTTCTCTTAGTTCTCATTGATTTTCTTCTATTCCTTCAAAATCTTTTTCAGTCATGCTTTCTTCCCCAAGTTTCTCACCATTCTAAGACCCTGCATCCCTTCAAGTAAACCAGGGGGTAGAGAGGCATTCTGCTACCGTTTTGTCACTTCTACTAGCAAAATGTTTTGGGAACACAAAATGAGTGACTCCTGCTGGCAAAAAAAAAGCCCTGCACATACTCCACAGGTCCCCAAAGCCATTGCTAGTTAGGTGATAGGGATGAACATTTTTTTTTTTTAAGATTTTATTTATTTATTTGGCAGAGAGAGACGCAGAGAGAGAGGGAACACAAGCAGGGGGAGTGGGAGAGGGAGAAGCAGGCTTCCCGCGGAGCAGGGAGCCCGATGTGGGGCTCGATCCCAGGACCCTGGGACCATGACCCTAGCCAAAGGCAGACGCTTAATGACTGAGCCACCCAGGCGCCCCAAGGGTGAACATTTTATGTTTTTTGTTGAGTTTTGTTTTGCCTTCCACCCTCAAGATTTTATTTAATTGCTCTGAGGTAAGCATAGTCATCAATGTTGTTTTTTACTTTTAAACAATCACACCTTTATATAGAAAGGCTGGAGGTTTCGCATAAAAACTTCTCTTTCCACTCATTCGAGACCTGATGCTCCATCAGTCCTGACTGCTTTAGTGTATATTTCGTACAAACAAGGCTTTTCCTACATAACCATCCAAATCAGGAAACGGTCATTTATGCATTACTGCCATCTGATTCTCAGACCCCATTCAAGTTTTTTTTGTTTTGTTTTGTTTTTTCAAAGATTTTTATTTATGTGAGAGAGAGAGAATGAGAGATAGAGAGCACGAGAGGGAAGAGGGTCAGAGGGAGAAGCAGACTCCCCGCTGAGCAGGGAGCCCGATGTGGGACTCCAGGAGCATGACCCGAGCCGAAGGCAGTCGCTCAACCAACGGAGCCACCCAGGCGCCCCAAGTTTTATCATTTGTCCCAATATCCTCTTTAGCAAAAGGATCCAGTACAGACTCACATGTTGCATTTAGTTTTCATGTCTCGTCAGTCTCCTTCAGTCTGTTGCATCCTGTCAGGTGGTACACACTGCCATTTTGTCCCGTTACTGTCTCCACACTTTGGTCACTTCACTTGATGAAGGTGGTTTCTGCCAGACTTCTTGACTGTAAAGTTACTTCTTTCCTCTTTGAAATTAGTATTTTCTGGAGAGGTGCTTTGAACTCTGTAAAAATATTCCATTCCTTATCAGACTTTGAACGTATTCATATATTTATTTGTATCTGTATAGACTCATGGTTCTGTTTTATGCAGGGGTTATAATCCGTTGCTATCGTTGTGTACTTTGATGCTCAAAATGTCACCAGCTCGGCCAGTGGGAGCCCATTCCAAGTTGGCTTCTGTGTCTTTTTGACTCATTCTCATCATTCTTTAAGTGCTTCCTTGCTTTCTGGTCTGGGGTAATCCAGGCTCATCTTGTTCTGTCCTTTGTAACCCTGGAATTGGCTACTTCTCCAAAGAGATCTGGTTCATTTTAGTGGAAAATGGTGTACAGACACCAAGATCTGAGCACTAGTCATGTTCATTGCTATTGGGGTATCACTACTCCTTGGTCTGCTCAGCAGACAGAGCTAGGGAATATTTGTGTGCTCGTGTGTATACACATACACTCATTTGCATCTCTATTGGATGAAAACCATGTATTCATGGTGCTACCTCACCACAGGGATCATTCTAGAATTTTCCTTTCAGTGTTTGTAACTCCCTTCTCTGACCATGAGAAACTTGGTTTGCACTGTCCTTAATATTTCTATTTAATTGATCAGCCCCCTGCGTGTAACCGGTCTTCCATTTTTGCCAGCACCCCCTCCCCTGCTCAGACACCCTCCTCTCCCAGCTCAGGCTGTCATTCCCCATTCCAGGCCACCCCCATGTGGACGCTCACCTTACCCAGCTTGGTCACCAGCACCCCCTGCGAGGTGATTCTCATATGCAGACAAGTTTGAGGACCACGGAGGGTTCTTGGCTTGGACTGCACTTTAGTCTTCTTGTCAGTCCTCTCCCACCTCCCTGCTAACTCTTACTGATTGCTAGTTATTTGCATGCTGCCAGACGTTTCCTTTCGTAATGAGCAACACCCACAGTCCTTTTCTTGTCACTGCTTGAAGGCTCTTAATCATTCGGTAAACAGCAAAATACAGTGCAGTCCAGGCTGCGTTCGCAGCCTCGCGGGTTGGTGTGCCGGTCTCTCAACAGTGCCTCTTTCCTCTGCTGAGGGCAGTGTTGGTGTCGTTAAAATACCAGGAAATGCAGAGGTTTCATTGGTGCTCTGTAAGTTGTCCTTTGCCGCCTTGGAGAAAGTAGCTGTTCTTTTTATCCTGTCCCGCAGCTTGCAGTTCAAAAGCAAGTGAGAGTCTCCTTTGAGCCTCACTCAGATTTGAAAATGCCCCCCCAAAAATCATCTCTTCCCGCCTCCACTAAAACAAATAACCCCCTGCATGCATGTGTATGTGTTGCATGCATTCTCAAATGTGGTGTTGTCTGTCCTGAAAAGCGTGAAGGAAGACGTGTTTTGGAGGAACTACTTTTACCGCGTCTCCCTGATTAAGCAGTCAGCCCAGCTCACAGCCCTGGCCGCCCAGCAGCAGGCCTCCGGGAAGGAGGAGAAGAGCCATGGCACTGAGGAGGACCTGCCACTGGCAGGTATGTTCAGAGAAGACTTTGCTGTGTGTAAAAAAAAAAAAAAAGAAGAAAAGAAAAGAGTTACTTTAAAAATATTCTTAGAGACTCTCATGAGCTTGTCATCTTTTATGTACCAAAAATGTCATTGTCATCTTCTGGAAAACTCTTTCCTTTCCAGAGGAATATTCATTCTCATTGCCCTCTCTCTGACCCTGCTCACACATCTTTCCCAAGCTTTGCTCTCCTTTGCTTTCTTTTTCTTGTTCTTCAGGGTTTTTACTTCCTTTTTATTTCTCCCTCGGTCACTAGTCATTTTCCCATCTCTTTCCTTGCCCTTTATGATTTTATACCTTCTTTCCTCTACCGATTCAGTGCACCGCTTTTCTTTGTTTCTCTGCCTTCCATTCAAGCCGCTGCTCCCCTAGTACTGTACTCTGTAGAGCAGAACTGAGCTCCATCCCACTCCAAGTTACCAGTGTCTAGCCCAGAGCTAGGCACCATTATGGTGCACATCGGACTTTTACTGTGACAGTTGACCCCTGGTTGTTGGGGAAGTGTTTTATAATACCAGCAGCAATTTAAGATCTGTAATAGTAATGAAAATCAGAAAGGTATTAAAAAATAAGAAGAAAGGTATTTTGTGTCATATTTTTAACGTTTCATGAACACCTGTGTGTAGGTACTGATTACAACTAGAGACTTAACCTGTTCGTGGAATTTTAAATAATTATGCATCATGTATCCTAAGGCACAGGTTGTACAGAGCACCCGAAGAGAAGCTGACACTGCATTTAGGGTCAGGGAAATGTAATGAAGTTGCTCTACACAGTAAAATTTGGCATTTTGCATATAGATGTTAAAAAGAATCCCAGTTGTCTATTATTCTTAACTATTTGTTTTCATTGATTTTATTAGAAAATGCCATTTTACCAAATACTGCCTATATTACAAAATGGGCTTAAGACAGGATTCAGTAAAGACTACACACCTAGTAAGGTTCATAAGAAAGAAAATGCGGCCCAGGAGAAAGAGGGGAAGCTGTGACTGAGTGTTGCACTTTGCTCTGTGCTTCCTAGCATTCGTGACAAATGGAAAATTTGATAAATAACTGAATTCTCAGTACCCTAAAAGAAGGAGCAGATCTATTCCTGAATTTGATTTCAGCTAACACTGAGGTCAAAATTTATTTCCTGCTTGGAAATCTTATATGAAGGGCATCAAATATGATGACATTAAAAAAAAAAAAATTCCCAGAAGAAAGAGGTTGAAATGGTCTCACCTAGGTATTTCTTGAAAGCATAACATAAAAGCTCATTTCTGAAAATTATTTAGTATCATCATACTTGTGGATATTTTAGTTGTTACTATAATATGTATTCAGAATTGAATCAAGCAATTTTTGTCTCTTTTATTCTCACTTCTTAGAGGCAGTACGGCCCAAAACGCCACCTGTCGTAATCAAATCTCAGCTTAAAACTCAAGAGGTAATACAGTTTTACATTGTATCTAGTAGTTGTCTGGAAATGAAGTATCTTTGTGTTAACTATCTCAGATCCCATTTGAAACTGCTTATGAATATGGGACTTACCTGTTTTGAAGAAGAGGGGTCCAGCACTTGCACAGTTAGGGACCTGTAGCTGAGACATGAGGTGATTCCCTGGTATCAGTCATCTTAGATGTGCTCCCGGGAATTAGACTGAATGACTGGAGTGACCCAAACTGTGAGAGAGCATAGTGGACTCAGGTGATAGTTCATCTGGTTCCCAAGCAGCTGCACAGGTTAGAAGGCTGGAGAGCAGTGAGCATCTGACTAGCAGAGGAAGGAGACGAAAGGGACGCTTTTTCTAATGCCGCTTAGAAAACCATTCCCAGAGCTCCTTTGTTGCATTTCAGGATGAAGAGGAGATTTCGACCAGCCCAGGGGTTTCTGAGTTTGTCAGTGACGCCTTTGATGCCTGTAACTTAAATCAGGAGGATCTGAGAAAGGAAATGGAGCAACTGGTTCTTGACAAAAAGGAGGAGGAGACAGCCGTTCTAGAAGGTACCAGACAAACAAAATAGCTGTGCTCTTTTCCGATTCCGAAGTTGATTATAGAAAATGTCATTCTGAAGCAGACATACAAACATACTGTAACTTCTGCGTCAGAATCGCTTCTCTGTTCCCTGTTAGAAGGTAGATTCTAGCACACATGACCAGACCTCACATCCCTCTGCCTTAAGCATGCACAGGAGTGTAGAGAGGAGAAACTGAGCCCAGAGAGGATAAGTGATTGGTCCAAGGCACCTCAGCCCCAAGAACATGTGGCCAGCAACAGGCGACAAAGAGTGCACACCCTTTCACTTAGAGACACAGTCCTCCAGCCTTCTACTTGGGTTTATACTTTTTTTTTTTTTTTAAGATTTTATTATTTGAGAGAGAGCGAGCGTGTGCACATGAGCAGGGAGAAGGGCAGAGGGAGAAGCAGGCTCCGCAATGAGTAGGAAGCCCGACATGGGGCTTGATCCCAGGACCCTGAGGTCATGATCTGAGTCAAAGGCAGACACTTAACCGACTGAGCCACCCAGGAGCCCGTTGGCTTTATACTTCTATGTAGAAGATTCTTTTTCCTGCTGCTGTGTGCCACAAGAGCATTGCTTCTGGGAAGGAGCATGCTGCCTTTAAAAAAAATAGTAATTTAGAGACAAAGTACAAGTGGGGTTGGGGTCGGCTGCTTTCTTTGGCACATCAGGACAAATGACTGGCTTTCTACTGGATGAAAAGCAAAGGCTCGGGTTAATCATCATCAAATGAAGAGTGTTCCATGAAGCCTTCTGAGACTTACAATGTACTCAGGAAGCCAGCTCTCCCCCATTTGTACAGAGAACACCCGTGAGAAAACTAGCCTCCCAGAGGTGAACTGGAGCCCTGATGGCACACTGTGGAGGGACTTTGGAGGAAAGAATTGGGAAGGAAGGAGGAGGGAAGAGCTTCTGGGGGAAAGAGAGGCCAGAGGGGAAGTGAAAACTTGGACTCGCTAGGTACCTCAGACCCCTCCCACCCCCATCTGTTTCTCATGCAGATGGCTGCTAGCCACTGCGGAAGGACACTGGGCAAGAGCCCCGGGTGTTGGAGGCGAGAGCCCCGGGTGTTGGAGGCGATAGCTAGAGCAGACTGCGCGCTGGTTCCCTTTTTGCCGGTGATGACTGGTAGCACAGGCCCCACAGGAAACTGGAAATGGCCCTGAGGCAGGAGTCATAAGGTGCTGGCTGGATGCTCTGGGCAAGCTGTTCTTGCATTGAATTCCTGCCCGAGTTATAATTTGGACCACATAATATTCTTTTATATATTCATTGTCTTGGCCCCCGAGCTAAACTGTAAGTTCCTCAAGGGCAGTTACACCTTTTTTTTGTTACCCCACAGTACCTGACATGGGGTCTGGCACCCAGCCAGCCCCTAATAAATATTTGTGACATTGGTGGTTTGCCAAGCAACACACCGTGTCCTTTCCCTTGAGTCTCCACTGCCAAGAAAAATTAAAACATTTGGTTTTTGTTTTCTCTATAACTACTAAGTTTAAGGTATGTATGTATGTATTTATTTATTTTTAAAGATTTTATTTATTTATTTGTCAGAGGGAGCGCAAGCAGAGGGAGGGGCACTCAGAGCAGGCAGAGGGAGGAGACTCCCTGCTGAGCAAACAGCCCGACGTGGGACTCAATCCCAGGACCCTGGGATCATGACCTGCGCCGAAAGCAGATGCTTAATGACTGAGCCACCCAGGTGTCCCAAGGTTTGTTTTTTAAAAGAAGAAAATAGAAGGATGCCTGGGTGGCTCGGTTGGTTAAGCGTCTGCCTTCGGCTCAGGTTGTGATCTCAGGGTCCTGGGATCGAGTCCCGCATCGGGCTCCCTGCTCAGCAGGGAGTCTCTTCTCCCTCTGCCTGCCACATCCCCTGCTTGTGCTCTCTCTCATAAATAAATAAAATCTTTTTTAAAAAAAAGAAGAAGAAAATGGAGGTGCCCGCTGGCTCAGTCAGTGGAACGTGTGACTCTTGATCTCAGGGTTGTGAGTTCGAGCCCCACATTGGGCATAGAGATTACTTAAAATCTTAAAAAAAAAAAAAGATGAAAATGAATTTTAGCTTTACTTTTCAAATAGCTGGTTTGTTTTCTATTTCGTAACACCACATAGCAGTTGTCTTATCGTCTACATACATACATATATGTACACGTACACATCACACACACACACACACAAACACACACACACACACACAACACACACATACATTGAGGTTCTAAGTGGAAAGTTGCAGTTCTGAATCTCAGCACAGAAGAGGAATGTGAGAGCTTAGATGGAGCCCAGTGTGAGGGGCCAGGCTTCATCAAGAGGCCTTCTGACTTCAGGTTCTGGCATCCATTGCCACTCTAGGAAAACTACTGCTAAAGTTCTTATGCACAGACTATGAAGCCTGCAGATCTGGCTCCATCTGGATGCCTGGTGCTATCAAGCTGTGTGTTCTTGGGCAAGTCACTTAACCTCTCTAAGCCTCTGTTTTCCAACCTATAAAATGTGCAGCAGTGTATCTAGTCCCTGGATTGATCTAAGGATGGAAAAAAATGGGGGCAGGGGAGTGATATGTAGAAAGAAGTTAGCACCGTCCCAGCTCAGTGATTGCTCAAGAAATGTTAGCTGTTTTTTCCTACCATCGTCATCCTTAATAGTGGTAAAGATTAATTTGCAACCAAATATTAATTATCAACTATCCATTTAAATATAAGGAAAAGCAGAGGTTTTAGAAATCAAAGTAACACCCAAACGTACAGCACTTAACCGATTTATCTTTCTAATCATATTTCCCTTGGGTTACTGTTAAAATTTGGTCAGTTTTTCTGAGCACACATGGCGAGGAAGCTTGAGATGTTAAAAATTATCATGGCTAGGACTTCCACAGGGAATTATACTTGACTGAGTTGTTAAAACCAGCATTGTGAATTCAGAGAGAATCTTTTCCTTCTCATTTGTTTCTTTCAGAAGATTCTGCAGATTGGGAAAAAGAACTACAACAGGAACTTCAGGAATATGAAGTGGTGACAGAATCAGAGAAACGAGATGAAAACTGGGATAAGGAAATAGAGAAAATGCTGCAGGAGGAAAATTAGCTCTTTCCTGAAATAAAAGAATAATGCTTAACAGTCTGTAACTGACATTAAATTCTAGACGACGACACTCGCTGAATCAGAAGGCAAAAAAGATTGGTATAACTATAAAATTCAAGATTATTCTTTTTTCAAGCTGAAATTTGCCTTTTTTGCGTTTATAAAAAATATATAGAACAGTTATTCTAATAATCAAAAAGGGATGTTTTATGTAATATTTCTTTAATATAAACCTAGTTAGAGATATTCGTGTAGTCACTATGTATATCTTTGCCACAGAAATGCAAGTAAAATTTTAGAGTTCTGTTTTCCATGAGGTCAGAATTATAATTTATTCTTCAATTGTTTTTTCCTACACATTTGTACTACTTGTTGCATTTTCACTGATACATGTATTTGTTGAAGTACTTACTTAATGGATTGATAACTATCACAATGACCAAACTGTACCAAAGAACTTAAGAAGAAGCACTTTCAAGACTATTTTCTTGGTAGGTATTTTCTAAAATTCCCTCTAGAAGCCAAAAGGTAAGATAATTGTGTTGATTTTCATAGTGTAAACATCACACAATTTGACATTGAGAAATACTGTGCAAAAGCATTTGTTTTTCTCTAGGGCCTTTTCTTTCTTGTGTTGTTTGTTTGTTTGTTTGTTTGTTTTAACTATACCACGTTTAATATCATTGCTTTCCTAAATTCCACGTCACAGTTTTTGTAGAAAGCGGGGCCTTTTGTCCTTTTTATATTAATGACCTTCATAAACCCATTCACCTTACAGTCTCTTGTTTTTGTTTAAATCGTCATCACCTATAAATGTTTCAGCTTTGTTTGTCTTAAACTGTCAGTCCTTATAAAATTGTGTTCCTCTCAGTACAACTTGTGGAACTTCACTGCTCAATCCTGCTTGTATTCTGCTATACCAGCAGGCCCATGCTCATAGGATACGGTATTTTAAAAGAACAAGGTGGCTTAATGTCAGAACACTTCCGAGGCATTTGCTTCCTAAAATGTTCATATTTTTCAAGGAACCTTTATTTCATAAAAGGGAATAGAATTAAGACAATCCTTTATGGGAAAAATGTACATATTTCTATTCTTCACTCCATAAAAACTAGTCCATGGTCCTCTGGCAAAGGTATAGTCAACGAGAGAACTGGGTGTGCGTCCAAGCTTTCCTCTTGTTTGTAGCTTGGTGCACACACTTGTGAATGAGCCAGACTGTCTCAGCTGGGATCCCTTGGGTTATAGCAATAAACTCACATATTCTGTGAAACCACTGACTCCATTATGAAGGGATCTTCACCTGTGGTGCCACAGTTGCTGATTACGGAGTTTGGGTTCAGAGGTGGTGACTGGCAACTTCTAAAATAATCCTATTGAAGGGAAAAGTTTGGGTTTTTTTAAAGTAGAGTTTTCTGGAGGGAAAGAAACATGTAAAATGTTTTTAAGTAGCTAAAAGTCCTGGATGTAAGCAGATCAGAATATGACAGTGCTTGGCTCTTGGTATATGCGCTAAAATTCACATTGTTGAATAAATACAAAAAAGCAAAGGTTTCAGAGAAAGTAAAAAAAAAAAAACTAAAATGACAATAGACATTATAGTTGTTACTATCAACTTTACATGATACTCTTATTGCATTTAAAAACAACCTAATTGTGCATTGCTTTATGAAAACAGAAGGCTAAAATAAGATTTAATACACAGCATAAAAATACAGTTATGCTCTATTTTTATGATTCAAATAGGAGTAAAATGTTCTGCTCTTTTAAGTGATACAAGTAACTGAAGTGTATTCCTTTAAAGGGAAAAATAATTTGTAACCATGTTGGGTGGAAAATTTCTAATGGGGGATAGCCAACAAGCTATGCTGAGCATAAAAACACATAAGCTTCACACTATGGGGATTATACCTCACTACTCACAGTGTGGCTCAGGAACCAGCGATGGCCTGCCCTAGGAATTTGCTAGAAATGCAGAGTTTCAGGCCATGCCACAGACCTGCTGGCTGAGACCCTGCCCGTTACCGAGACCCCCAGGGATTAGAGTGGGCTTTACAGTTTGAGGCACATTGGACTAACGCACTAATGCCCTCAGGGCAACCAAGGTTGCTGGTGCTTTTTACTTTGTACCCTTCCACTAGCATCGTTGGATGATGGGGTCTTTCTAGTTGGTGTTACAGATACCTCCTCTGCTGTTCCAGTCAGTTCCTGCTACCGATTCACCTTTTCACACTGCCAAATAAAGAGGAACCAAGCTCCCAGGGAGACCATGAATAATCCTGCTAAGTCAGATCTCTCTGATATCACACATTTCAGAGGAAAATGACAACACCACAAAGTGCAGAGATAAGGCTCCCTGAGAACTGTTTCACATGTTCACAAGCTTTCCCTGAGGTTCTTGAGCGGCATCAGAGGGCTGATGTCCCCCCAAGGCCATAAAGGATGGAATGTACCATGTATGGCACGTTCATGCACATGAAATCAAGTAAAAATATTTGGAAAGGTAATAGAGTATGGACCCAAACTGTGTCTTTAAGGCCAATTTTAGGTACGTGGAGTCTTATTTTACAAGAATGGAAACTTTATTTGCAGTTCCAGCAGTTTATGGCAAGCAAGTAAAGTCCACGGATGTAGCCAGTCTCAGCAGGAGCTCTCGCTCTGCTACCGCCAACTCAGTTACAATGTCACAAATTCATATGCAAAAGTGGCAACTTCTTACAAGAAGTGGGAAATCTCTGTATTGAAAAGTTAAACTAGAGAACCTTATCTTTTAGTAGATAAGGCAGCAGTGAACGATACTTGTAACTCAGAGTGCTTTCAGATACCCTACAATAAGCAAGATGGTTTTTCACAAACTACTATTACAAATAGGATTTTTAGGACAATTTAAAGGTTAACCAAAAAAAAAAAAAAAAAAAAAAACACGATCACATCCAACTTGCAATAGTTTATTTCCCTCCTTGACCACTTTGGTATAAAAACCACGACTTCAGTGAATGTGCTTCTATAATTTAAATAATTTGATATGGTTCTTTCTGGTAATAGATTTTCCCCTCCATTTTATTTATTTATTTATTTATTAAAGATTTTATTTATCCATTCATGAGAGATGGAGAGAGAGAGGCAGAGGGAGAAGCAGGCTCCCAAGGAGCAGGGAGCCCGATGTGGGACTCGATCCCAGGACTCTGGGATCATGACCTAAGCCGAAGGCAGACGCTTAACCATCTGAGCCACCCAGGCGCCCTCCCTCCATTTTAAAGTAAAACCTTTTTCAACTGCAAAAATGAGGGGCATTTAATTTTCGCAAATTTATGTTTCAGCTTTTTAAAAGTGGTAGGAATTTTTATATAGTTATATAATCAGTTTTATGGGGGGAGAACAGACCTTTTTAAAAATGATTATTTCCAGACTATATTGATAGGAAAATAAAATTACAAAATGCATGTTACAATCGCCAAAAAAAGATGGTGCTTAGAAAACTAATGAGTCATGACAGATGACAAATATATATTCATGAATCTTTAATCACATGCAGTTACATATTTCTTATAAATCAATTGTTTATCTGGTCTTCACACTTAGGGATTTGTTCAGATGAAGCTGTTTATGATTTCAGTTGTTAAACTAGTTTTTAACAGCATTTATTCATTGCGTTCTGATTTATTTCCAATATGAAAAAACTATATTCCACTTTGTTCTGAATAAATAAACCTCATTTTTAGTGATAAGATATGTTATAATGGTTTTTCCTGAATAACTAAAAATTCTCTTCCAATAAGGACCTATAAATATTTCAAAGTTACCTGGTATGTAGGCTTCTATTAGAATTAAAACTGCCTTGAGAAGGTATTGAGTTTTAAGAACACATTTTACTTTCACTGTAGATGACTACTCAAGTGCAGTGGGTTGTCCTTCATAATAAAAAAGAATTCTAATCCAGTCAGCAGGCCTTTTACTCTAAAGCTACTGCAGGATTTTTCCCTCCTCCGGTAGTGATAGTAATATTGATCTATCTTGTTCTTTCCTGATAACCATGATGAGCACTGATGATGCTTCTGCTGGCTAAAGCTCAAACTCACCAAGGTTAACCAGTTCTCACTAAAGCCGAGGAGAAAAAAATTTAAGCCTGTGATCTAATAGAGGCACCTGCCTGGCTCAGTCGGTAGAGCATGTGACTCTTGATCTTGGAGTTGAGTTCAAACCCTACGTTGGGCCTAGAGCTTACTTAAAAAACAAACAAACCCCACAACTGACCTAATAGAGATAATAGATCAATTCAACATAATAGAGGATTTGGGTAACTACCACTAAAGAATCCACATTATGATCATGAAAATAGCCAATAAGTACATAATATTCTCTGCCATATTGCACTTAGTGCAAAAATCAAGATACAGCAAAATGGCCACATCACTCAACAACATTAACTCTCATGGAGACACTGCAGGGTATAGACGTGATGTGGGAACTGAGCTAAATCATGTCCCTCTACCAAAAGAGTGTGGCACAAGATGCGACACTGGAGCACCAGACTGGCTCAGGTTGTGGAGTGTGTGGCTCTTGATCTCAGCATCATGAGTTCAAGCTCCACATTGGGCCTGGACTTTACTTGAAAAAAAAGTGTGGGGCGCCTGGTTGGCTTAGTTAAGTGTCTGCCTTCGGCTCAGGTCATGATCCGGGGTCCTGGATGGGGCTCCCTGCTGAGCAGGGAGCCTGCCTCTCCCTCCGCCTGCCCCTCCCCCTGCTTATGCTTGCTCTCTCCCTCTCTGTCAAATAAATAAAATCTTTATTAAAAAATAATGCCATCAGGGGCGCCTGGGTGGCTCAGCCATTAAGCGTCTGCCTTCGGCTCAGGTCATGATCCCAGGGTCCTGGGATCGAGCCCCGCATCGGGCTCCCTGCTCCACGGGAAGCCTGCTTGTCCCTCTCCCTCTCCCACTGCTTGTGTTCCCTCTCTCGCTGTGTCTCTCTCTGTCAAATAAATAAATAAAATCTTAAAAAAAAAATAATGCCATCAGCAAGATTAGTGTAGCGTTCTTTGTTCATTGAACTAACAAAACGAGTGCTTGTGAAATTAAGGCATGAAAATAGACACAATTAAATCTGGACAACACACAAAAGTAATTTCATAACAAGAACATGGGATGCATGTCTTACTGTCCCTAGTACCACACTTTGAGGAATGAGGCTAAGCCAGTGAATTTCTTGACCTAAGGCAGTGACCCTGCACTTGAGCTTTAAAAATGCTGATGCCCAAGCCCCACCCCTGGAGAGGCTAACTGGTTGGGGATGTAGCCTGGGCATAAGGTTGTTTTTGTTTTATAAACTCCCCGAGTCGTTCTGAAGAGCAGTTAGAACTGCAAAGCTCTGGGCCTAGGGGAAAGAGGCCTGGGGGGAAAAGATTTGTTTGGGTGAGATAGCTAGGGAGCACTCACTTGCTTCCTTAGAAAAATGAAAGGGTGGAATTGCCTGGGTTTTGGGGTGGTTTTTTTTTTCGTTTTGTTTAAGATTTTATTTTTAAGTAACCTCTATACCCAGTGTGGGGCTCGAACTTACAACCCTGAGATCAAGAGTCACATGCTCTACCACCGGAGCCAGCCAGGTACCCCTGGTTTTTAAAGTCCATCCCATGTCCTAAATGTTATCTTAAGAGAAGCCTTTAGGGGCGCCTGGGTGGCTCAGTCGTTAAGCGTCTGCCTTCAGCTCAGGTCATGATCTCAGGGTCTTGGGATCGAGCCCCGCATTGGGCTCCCTGCTCTGCGGGAAGCCTGCTTCTCCTTCTCCAACTCCCCCTGCTTGTGTTCCTTCTCTCACTTTGTCTCTCTTTGTCAAATAAATAAAATCTTTTCAAAAAAAATTTAAAGAGAAATCTTTATAAAATACTTTTTTTTTCTTTTTTAATTAGAGCAGGAGGGAGAGAGAGAGAGATAAGAGGGGGAGAGAGGATCTTAAGCAGCCTCCACGCCCAGCACAGAACTGGATGCGGGGCTTGATCTCACTACCCTAAGATCATGACCTGAGCTGAAATCAAGAGTCGGAAGCTTAGCCGACTGAGTCACCCAGGTGCCCAGACAGATACTATTTTAATTCTGTTTTCAAAGTGGTTTTTAATTTTCTGAGATGATATCTTGGGCTTTCAGATTGAATATGTCAGATTAAATATATGCGTTTAGCTCTACTCTATCCACAAACCCCACTAAATGACAGTAAAGGAGTAAAAAGAAAAGGTATCAATTTGTAGTAACAAAAACAGCAGAGCAGGCAACAGTAGTAGCCAGGTGGTGAGGAAGACATTTTGATGTTTCAGAACCCCGCAAAGCTCAGGAATTCCAAAGATGTGCCCCCACTAAAAACAGAGAAAATTGATAGGGTAGGCAACTAGAGGCCTCTCCCACAATTTACAACTGAAAAATCATCAAGAAAGAGTGGTATAAGCATATTATGAGCTACAGAAGCAAACAGATGAAACTGCTAACGGTTTAAAATGATGGCTCCGGGGGCGCCTGGGTGACTTTGTTGGTTGGGCGACTGCCTTCAGCTCAGGTCATGGTCCGGGGTCCTGGGATTGAGCCCCATGTCGGGCTCCCTGCTCAGCGGGGAGCCTGCTTCTTCCTCTGACTCTCTCCCCTCTCATGCTGTTTCTCTCTCCCTCAAATGAATAAATAAAATCTTTAAAAAAAAGTTTAAAAATTTTTTTAATTAAAAAATATATATAAAGTAATGGCTCCTGGATAGATAGATAAATAAATAAATAAAACGATGGCTCATGGGAATTGGGGAAGGGTAAGTCAGAGGTCTGCTGTTCTGAAAGCCTTCATCATTTGACTTCTAAAATTTAGATTATAGGGGCGCCTGGGTGGCTCAGTTGGTTGGGCGACTGCCTTCGGCTCAGGTCATGATCCTGGAGTCCCGGGATCGAGTCCCACATCGGACTCCCTGCTCGGCGGGGAGTCTGCTTCTCCCTCTGACCCTCTTCCCTCTCATGCTCTCTATCTCTCATTCTCTCTCTCTCTCAAATAAATAAATAAAATCTTTAAAAAATAAAATAAAATAAAATAAAATTTAGATTATAAAGAGAAGATTTTTTTTTTAAGTTATTTTTGATGGGATGCCTGGATGGCTCAGTGGGTTAAAGCATCTGCCTTCAGCTCCAGTCATGATCTCAGAGTCCTTGCTCGGCTCCCCCTGCTTGTGCGTGCTCACTCTCTCTCTCTCTCTCTCTCTCTCTGACAACAACAACAACAACAACAAAAGTTATTTTTGGGCGCCTGGGTGGCTCAGTTGATTAAGCGACTGCCTTCGGCTCAGGTGACAATCCCGGGGTCCTGGGATTGAGCCCCGCATTGGGCTCCCTGCTCTGCGGGGAGTCTGCTTCTCCCTCTGCCTGCCACTCCCCCTGCTTATGCGCGCGCTCTCTCTCTCTCTCAAATAAATAAAATCTTAAAAAAAAATTTTTTTTGACCAGGGTATGAGGGAAAAGGTATGCAAATACTGTAGATGAGAATGTAAAATTGTAAAACCTTTCTGAATGGCAATTGGGTAATATGGACCAAAATTTTAAATGTACAGAACATTTAGTTCAGCATTTTCGGTCTTGGAATTTTTTCTGAGGAATTGAGCAAGCACTGCTTTGATTATAAAACTGAAAATTGGAAACTACCTACATGTTCTACATTCGAATCTTCATTTCACAAGGGATGGCTCATCCATACAATGGAATAATATGTAAACATTTTAAGTGATGGATTTCACATGCACTGGATGCTCAAAAATGTAAAAGTCTGAAAATAGCAAGTTGGTGAGCATGCAAACAACCGGACTGTGGATATACTGCTGGCGAGCGTGCGCACTGGTTCACGGAAAAAGCAAAAATCGGCATCACTTAAAGGGAAACTTGA